AGTGACAGGCCACCGCTGATATGACTATTCGACGCACGCTCGCACGCAATCACGGCGCAATGTTAGGCATGCTTTAAGGCAGAATCAAAGTCGCGTTGCGGTGTTAGCGAAGGAAATATTTATGCGAATTGGTAAATGGTGGCGTAAAGGAGGGTTCGGTGGCTGCAGCCGCAGCAGGCAAATAAATCAAATGGAAAATATTTGCCGAGCAGGGCAGACGAGCAAATAAAAGTGAAATTAAGGATACACCTGAAGGCGAAAAAGCCAGCAAAATTAGATTGCAGGTAAGCGCTCGAAAGCATGCTGCGCAAGGCATGCTAAAGCGAAAGCGAGTGCGAGTGGATGTCAATTGAGGCTGCAGGAGGGGTGTCGGCGTCGACAGGTCGTGTGGGTGTTGACAGTAAATAAAAGATGAACTTTGCATGAATCGCAGCCAAACAAATGTAAATGTGATAGAAAGAATGCAGACAGACAATGGCGGCTGCGAGGTCTGCGAGCACATTAAGCGTTTAACTGTCAGCTTGCTAATGAAATGCGTATTAAATTTAATTGCAAAGCTTATTTATTTGTGTTTTTTGACGAAATGAAGCACAAAAGCAGAATGCTGCGCTTGTGAGTTGTGATGAAGATTGATTTGGAACCGTTAGGCAGTCAATATGCACACACGCTCGGCTTGCACACATTTCAAGCAAAATAAATGGGAATTTTAGCTGACAGTTGATTAATTACATAAAGCCAAGTAAAAAAAAAATTAAAATAAAAAAGTGTTAAATGGGTATAATTGTAGTCAATGACACATTTGAAGGTGTTTACGGACGATTTCGATGCTTGGGTGTGTAATTAATTAAATTTAAGAGCAAATCTTGCTATTTGGCTATAGACGAGGACGTAAGTAGAGTAGAAATGCAAAAGCTTTTAATAATTGCTTATGAAGCATTATAAATTGTGGCAGATCTATTTATTTACATAAGGCAATAATAATCTTAGGCAATCGCTTAATTTTTTATGGAGAGTGACAAACTGAAACAAGTCAACCGCCAAAGTCAACAAACCGCTCTTCAATTATTTCGAACACGCTGAGCAAATATACAACAAAAACACAAATTAAGCAAAGCAAAGCAAAGCATGAGTAATTGCTTGTGTTGCTACAATAAATAAAGACAAACACACGCACAGTTTGCAACATCAAAGCAAATGTAGCGATAAATGTGTATGTAAGCACACACACACACACACTTTGATTTTCGTTACAAAAAGCCAAGTAGCTAAGTCAGCAGCTCAAATGATTATTTGGCTTTAGGAATTTCTATATACACACATACAAACATACATATATACCTATATACCTATATACCTATATGTGCATGTTCTTACATTAATTTAGCTGTATATGTAAACAAGATAAAATTCATATCGCGCACACGCACACACGCAGCCGCGTGGCGAACATGCGTAAAGCTAATAAACCAAAACAAAATATACAAGTGCTTAGAAGAAACGCCCGCAGTACCGCGAAGTGGCTGAACAACAACCTCAATGAAGCCAGAGATCAAATATTACAACAAAATTAAAGCATTTGCGGAAGCTAACTCAATTGAAATGCGTGGAAAGTTGAAAAAGTATGAACACCGAATGCAAAGCCCTCTTAGACAGGGAGGAGTTAACAATATGCTACTGCTAGGCTGATGTGCCATGGTTTGATAAAACTGATAACAACGGCTTTTGCTTATTTTGTGTCAGTTAAGATGGTATAGCTACTTGTGAATCAAAAAAAAAATATATATATATATATCGATTATATGTACGCCGGCAAATACAAGTAGTTTCGGTGTTAAATATTATAATTATTTATTTTTAACTTATATTTGTCTGCTAATGTTCGAAGTAATACGATTTTTTGATAATAATTTCGATTTTTCAAGTCACGCTGAAGCGTAAATTTTTTCTTTAAAAATTACTTTTTTGGGGAAGCCACCATTTTGTCAATAATAAGAATTTTTACTAGCCTTTCGTTCACTATCTGTATTTATCTATTGTATTAATTACTTGTTTTGGTTTTTCATTTGATATAATTTTCAATCTGAGATAATTTTAAGCAGATTTAAATGAATTAAACCAAAATTTTTCAAATTTAATCTGCGATTATAAAGTACATTAAATTAAATGCTTTAAATGTGCATTATTTTTTATTCATTTATTAAGTAAATTGCCTCTGCAACAACAAATTCAAGTGGTTACAACCGCTTAAGTGAGTCCACGAGGAATGCTCAAAAATTAAGGAACGGTTGATAAGGTATACATATTTTATAAAGACACGATTTTGCTTGGGTTTGCGCACTTATCGTATTAACTATGTATGTATTGTTGTTGTTATTGTTGTGGATACGTTTTTTGGGGCAAAACTGAGATTTTTTGGTTACCTAGACTCGTATGAAAAGTAATATTTTGTATGTTGTTGTTGTTGTTGTAGGCCGACTGTTATGAAAGCGTATCATTTATCTGTCATACAGCTTGATTAACAGGTTAGTATTGGTAATAAAGATAACCTGGTGCATATTACGAATGAAAGGCCAACTATATAGAAACAAAACTACAAACACACAAACTACAAGTACATTGTTTGCTCTTGTTCTTAGGGAATGCATTTAAAACGCAATACAATTTCGGAGTTTGAGATGCAAAGCAATAGTAAACGCTTTAGATAACGGTGGCAATAAACTGCGTGTAATACATTTTTTCTGATGGACGCAGCTCTTCTTCACACGCACACACACACACACATACACTCATGCAGGCACTTTGAAAGTCCAGCGAGATGAGTTATTGTCGTATACACGCGCATTGCAAAAGCTACTTTTGTTTAGTGCAAATGAATTTCCACAATGCAGATGCAACTTTCACAATAAACTCGGATTACAAAACTGATGCTGCACGAAGTGTTACAACAGCAATAATGCTCGCCGGTCAAAATTAATATTGTACGTGAGTTGCATGCCACACAAGCATTGCATTGAGCGATAACAAGGCAAAGCGCATAATTCTAAGGAATTTTTGGCGCAGCCAAAGTGTAAAATTTTAATGAGAAAGTTTGGTGTTGCGCGCTAAACGTTGTACCAAGCGTTTTAGAACACAAAACTCAGAACAAGAGAAAAGTTTTTTTTTTCAATTATTTACACTACACCATATAGCGCTGACAATAGCATGGTTTAAGATTTGTTATACTCACGCAATATACAAGAGTAACATTTTTTTTTTTTCAATTCGAGCGACCCAAACAAGCAAACGTACTTTGATCGAAAACAACACTGTAAAATGTCAGAAAATGTCGTCAAATAAATTCGAATTCCCTGTAAAGTGTCTGATGAACAACCGCCACCAATACATATGGCACTACAGTTGCAGCAATAAATTTGCACAAAACTGCAAAACTTGGTGAGAAAGTTTAACAACCGAATATTCTATTCTGCCCACACAGCAACACTACTCTATGTAAATTTGCAGCAAGCCACATCAAACAAGACAGTTGTAAAAGTTTATATAACAGCATTAGGGGGGGTGGCGCACGGTGTGAACAAAAGCAATAAATTTGAAAAGCAAACGGTTTGAAGTATATTGCGCTGGGCCGTGCGCACTTAGGGACCCAAGCAGCTGGATGTAGACAGAGCAAGCCACTCTTTTGTAGACAAGCAGACAATATTGAAAGTTCTTTAAGGGCTGAGAAAAGCAACAGCAAATAATGACGGTACAAAATGTTGAAAATGCATTTGCTACCCCGAAATTATGGTTTATACATACATACATACATATGACTAAATATTACCACATATGTCACTATGTAACAGTAAATAAAGAATGTTTGATATTGTATACCCTACAAATAGCGATTACAGATTAAATGAGACGTGCATACGTTCTCTTTTCCACAATAATGTGCTTATTGAACGGAATCGCCGATATAAGACTTCTGTAGGATATAGCTGCCATACAAAAGGCTCGCTCAAAATCAAGTCCTTGATGGAAAACTTTTTTATTTGACGCGATATCTTTACGAAGTTAAAGTCAATGCTACAACTTTCCAACATATTGTTCAGATCGGCCCACTATAGATAAGAGAAATTCACCTAAGAAGGGAAATTTTTAATAAAATTAAATTTTTTTCTTAAATGTGCATAATATCTCAAGAATATTGTATATAAACTTTAAGTCGATTGGAGCCAAATGATTCAGCGTCGAATTATGAGGGGCACGGGCATTCAATTTTTTTCCGAGATGCTCCAGAGTAATTGCTGCAATTACCGTATTTTTTAATATTTCTCCATGAAAATTTAACAGAAGGTTCTTCAAATGTCACACTTTAATGTACCGTTGGTTTCTAAGATTGGATTTTAACTAGTTCATTAAGAAAAATCATAAAAATTAGCCATATTTACACTACTTAATCTTATTCCTCTCTTAACGTTGTTTTCTTGTTTTTTTTTTTCAATACTGTTGTTTTTGTTGTTGTTACGGTTATCTAGTCCCCGCTTGGATGGTAAGTGATAGTTTGGTAGTCGTCGAGGTCATCCAACGGGAGGCCCAAGAAACGGGCTGTTTCGACGGGGTCGGACCATAAGGAAAAGGGTGTTAGATGAGTTGGGTTTGTTGGGCATGCAAAGAGGTGGTGAGTATCATGCGGGGCCTATTCTGGATAATTTCTGCGAAAACACCCCAGCAGAAACTGCTTGGAGAGGAGCTCATTATGTTCCTTAACCGGGAGCATAAGGGCCTCACTATGTAGGTGTTCAATTGGGGACATCAAGAGGCACCCCGTGATAGTCCGGAGTGCAGTGTTTTGACAAGTCTGAAGCTTCCTCGTCTGCGTTGCACTACATCCAGACGACCAAATTTGTTCAATACTAAACTGCACTGCTAATGAGCTTTGTGTGGAGTTCTGTAGCTTTCAGATTTTGCCAAACTACTTATAAATATGCATTTTCTCCTTAAGCAGCTTTTTTACTCACCGGCATAAATTGCTTCAATTATAACATCCTCCAAATGGCGTACATTATTGATTTCTAACTCCTCCAACAACACTTCGTAAGGGATGCATTTGTTTTTAATAGCCAAAGAAACGATAGTCAAATGTTGTAATTTTTTCTGCATTGTAGCGGTTAATTCTATGTATTCGTCCGGCTGTAGACGGTATTGTTTGTAAGTACCGTAAGCAAATAGATTTAGTGTATTCAAGTACTTGGAGTGAGCTCCATCTTTAAGCTGTAAAAAGTAATATGTTGTTAGCAAAGTACACAGATTTATTATATGTAGATTAGTAACTACCTCTTGTATGTTGGGCAATGCAAGCAGTTCGCCAAATACATAAATAGAAGAAGCCTCCAGCACTTGGCGCACGACATCCAATAGTTGCATGCCTGTGGAGGATTTAGCAGTCGCACAATACTGCTTCAGCTGATTACGCGAGGCATCATTTGTAGTCGTGGGTTCATCATTCTTCATTAGTATGTCTTGAGTCATTTTAACGTGCTTGATTTCTTTTACTTCTTTCACAGTTAACAATTTATAGAATCTTTACAAATTTACTCCGGCAAACAATAAAAAGTGACAAAGCGTCTGGAACAGCTGATATCAGTTGTTGAATGACAAATGTCAAATGTGCACCTGTACAGTACGAGTGGTAATTTCATAGCGACACAGGGTAGTTATTTGCACAAATATAAGTTAAGCCAGTGAATGTTAATAAATTCCTTATTCTCTGCTTTACATATTGGTTTGAGACTCTGCTTTGTCCTTAGCAAAGCTACAAATCATGAAAAACTAAACAATAGATGGCGCTCGCAAATTGTACTTCAATTTATAGATTTTCAATGCCATAGTTTTTTATTTAAAGTATCAGAAACATCGAATTTTTTGAAATTGGTTAGAGCAATAAAGAAAATAAAAAGGTATTTGTTGAATTACAAACAAAAATATTTATATTTATTGCGAAATTTAACACAATTCCTCATTATTCAGTTCACTACGCCGCCGAAATATTTCCCGTTAGTGGAATGCGGTTACGGCAGATATTATATAAATAACTTTTCAGTGCGCATCTACACGGATGGTTCGAGTCTCAATCGGAATGTTGACAGGTGTCTAGATTTCCATTATTAAAGAATCGATAGCTCCATTGCCTTCACTTACCGCCCTCTCAAGCTTTAATACACATGAAACAAGTAACCTCTGCATGCGTGCTCGCCATCAAAACGACAGCAAATAATAGTCGCTGCTGTATACACATACGATTGCAAAATGCATTTATTGGTCCAGAAATCAGCGCTAAATGATCCAGGCCCGCATTTTGCCTGACCACACAAGACGTGACAATTGATGCTCGACAATGGAGAGCAAAACAAATCAAATTGCTTTTGAGCGTGCAACAGTGGCCGCCGGACAATTTCATTTGATTTATGCTGTGCATACATACAGACAACTGAATAAGCACACGGCTCAATATTTCTTTACAGAATAAAAGCGCAGCTAGGCAAACGCCAGCATCATTGCATTAGAACTACAAACAAGTTGAGTGAACTGCATGCGAAAACCAACAACAGGCAACAGGTGAGTTGCGACGCCGTATATTGCGGGGTATTGACAGCCTTGAGCCACTAAGCAAATTGCTTATTAGCCCATTACTGTCGACTAGACTCAACTCAGCTCGGACGACGTCAACCTGTGTTAGCAGCTGTCACTGTCATGAATGACAATCGAGTGGCACATAAATGCAACCGAAAATAAGCCAGACAGGACAGTCTACACAATTTTTTATTTATCAATCGTAGGCATTTGTAGGCTGCGCACATGCACATTGCCATGCTCACAACAACAAATAAATAAAAATAAATAAATTAACATGCAAAACAAACAATTTTGATATAAGCAATCGCAAAATAACTGAGCAGACCATTAATTTTACTTTTATGTTTGCCAAATTGCGCACACAGCCACATAATAAGCAAACAAGTGTGTATGTGTGTATGTGTGCAATGTGAAAACAGCTGTGCATTTGAAGTGTACAACAACATTCTTTACTCACCCTATATATGTAACTAGGCAGTAACAAAATTTTATGTGTCAGCATGATTTTTAGAAATGATAATGGCGCAAATGTCACGACTGGCTTGGGCACAACAACACAAAACCTGCAAGGGTTGGAGATATTGCATCTAGTTACATACATATAACAGCATATAACCACTAGTGAGATAAACTGGTTGGTAACTACCTTACAAACGACTAAGAACCGGATAAATATAAAAAATATCAAACAAATTCAAAATTTTGATTTTGAAATAGAAAGTGAAATCATAAAATATATAACATTTTTTAAAATGGCTAGCAGCCTAGTTCTTAGCGAAATTTTTTATTTAAATGAAAAGGCGCCGAAGCTACTATGACTGGACTGGCTTGTTTAATAATTATTACTAATTAAGGATATGTGTATGTGCTACAATAAAAACTAGATATTTTCTCATGCTAATATATACGCGACTGTTGCGAACAGCAAAAACAAAGGCTGAGCTCCCGAAGTTATGCTTCAACAAATTAAAATTGTATTTATTACAGTTAGCTTAAAATGTGTATAGTACATAAAAATGGCAGCTGTTTATGGTGGTACAGTAAATCTAAGACAGACACTTCTTTGTCGTGGAATATTCGACAATTCTATGTGCAAACATATACATATATGGGTGCATATATATATATACATAACTCACACAATAATATAAAAAGCTTGCGTTAGCTGAATTGTAACAACACCACTGGCATGAGCATTCAAAGTAGTTGCACATATAAAACTGACAGCTGCAGCTATGCAGCTGACACATACACAAACACACGCACATTTCACTATTATGACATTTGTTGACATACAAGTATTTTGCGTGCCACACAACTCTAACTGTTAGTTGTTAACAGTATTTTAAATTTAGATTTATTTATAACTTTTTACAAAACTACACACTCACACACACATAGATCAACGGTAGCAAGTACGTGTATAACAGTATGCACGAACTTCCCCGCTTTCGCACTAATGCCTTACTGCGCCTGCGTTTCGACCAATTTCGACCAATTTCGCAATTCGGCCAATTCTAGCATTGCCACTGTTAGCGCTACTTTCTGTGTTTTGTTGGCTTTCGCTGCTTTGTGCTGCTTGTTTTTATTTGCAATGTGCGCTTATCATTCTTATCAATCGGCGAGCGATCTGCCGCTGTATGGCTGTTGGCCGCTCCTTTTTGATCTGATGCCGCTGTATCGCTTTGTGTCGTTTATGTAGAGATGTGTGCATGTGTGCAGCTGCGGACAGGCACAGAGATAACGGTTGTTTAGCTGCTTTAGAAATTGGCTTTGCTTGTTTATTGGCATTTTAACATTTTTTATTATTATCGGCCTGTCTGCAGCATCCCAACTGTTTGTGCGGCATGCTGTTTTTGTTGTTGTTGCTTAATGTTTATGCGCTCGAGAATTTTTGTAACAACTTGTGCGGCGCCTTATCTACTTATCTGTGTCGCACACCTTGACCTTTGCGTCTGCCATATTGTCATATTTTCACAAACTTAACGCCGCGGCAGAAATACGAAGTCTGGTTAGCGCTTTAATCTTCGTTTTATGCTGCAGTTTGCAGTAAAATTTGTATGGCTTCAAACTTTCATTGTGTGCCGTCGGTTGCTTTGTGTGGCATGAACTGAATTTGAATTGGGGTTTAATGACAATTTAAGTAAATAACGGTAAGTAATAAGTATAACAAAAAAATAGTTTTTATCGATTTAAAGCACCACAGTTGCCTTACCGCCATATTTGTGATTGCATAATATTACTCAATTAGCATAGTCGGCATGTTGCCTGCCCACTTCCAAATGTTTTGCTTTGCTTTATTTGTTAAATTTCTATGTTTTAGCGTTGCCAGCCGCACATCCATCATTTACAGCAGACTAAACATTTGCAAATTATAAAATGTCACAGCCGTAATTGTGCCACAACTCCTACACACGCACGTATGATTACAGCACAGATATTTAAGTATTAATTATAATGCAAATCACATGCCAGGCTACACCTTTCAGAACTTTCGAAACGTTATACATGAAAGTCGAGTGTTAAATGCATCCTAATGTTGACAGCTCATATATTATAATGCTGAAGCTGCAGCTTGCCGGAAACATAGCACAGCAAGCAAAATATCTGAATAAAAAAGAAAGCAAATATGAAATTTGCTACAACATGTCATTAAAGTGTTTATTATATAATAACGCAAGCACACAAAAAAAACTAAACACTTTTGTTGCAAATCAAGTAAAACATTGTTAGCATATTAAGGAGCGCTACGGCGTGGTTGACTGGTTTAAAATTGCCACTATCAGTGCTTAAGCGCTTAACTATGTGCACAAATAAACTGGCGTGTTCAGCATGCTTGTCAAGTCGCAACCAGAATTAATTTCCTTTCAAATAATTCAAAAACAAAACACATAAACAAGTTAATGCCTGAGAATTGCTGCGATAAATCCGACAATTAGTAGATAGAAAATTTAGTTTCACTGCTGTAATTGCAAATACTGCAACATTTCGGTATGGTATTACGGCTGACGAGCAGCTAAGGAAGTTGCCGGAAATGACAAGTGTTCTGTTTTGTTGAATATACTCATAAATTCTGAAGAAGCCTTTGCTAACTCGTTATTATATATTTACTTTTAATATTTTAATCCACACAACTTTAATTTGTGATCCCTCCCCACGCATGGCGAAAACTTTGACGTACGTGGTAAATAAATCAAGCGCCTTTATCTAATATAACGGCAATTTAAAAAGCAAACATATTAAAAAAAGATGCTCAAAAGGTTAGGTTGAAGTAAAAGTTTCAAACCGAAAGTTCCGACGCACACACACGATACAAAAATGTATTGGAAACAACTAACTTACAAGTAACAGTCGTACAGCGGCGTACACATAATTAAGCACGCGCGGCATATTTATTTTACGACATTTCGTTATGCAGATTAGATTATATAAGTTAGTGGAATTTAATTTAGAATCATGCTTTAAGTGATGTTTGAAGTAACGGCTTATTTTCAATTTTTCAATAATTTGTGTTTCATATAAAAGAATTAAATGTTCTATACTAACTTCTTATTATCTCAAAGATACATATTTTGCAAAGGTTTTGTGAAACTTTCGACGTTAAATATTCAAAACTCGGCTATTACGACGCCATTTCCCGTAGGCCCTCGGAAAAGTTGGCGCCGCGTTGACAGCAGAACTTCTTAAAGGATAGTCAAAAGTACGAGTTTTTATGAACAGCATCAACTCGGTATTGGAAAAAGAGAAAAACACAGGGTGAATATTGTTTTTTGGCAGACTTTTTACCACAAAAAAAAAAATATTTTGTAAAAAAAATTTTCACGTTTTTTTTTTGAAAAAGTTGTAATTATACAAAAAAAAAATGAATATTGTTTTTTTGGAAGACTTTTTACCAAAAAAAAAAAATTTTGTAAAAAAATTTCAACTATTTTTTAAAATAGTTGTAATTATACAAAAAAAGTGAATATTGTATTTTGGCAGACTTTTTACGAAACAACAAAACAAAAAATTTTGTATAGAAAAATGTTAACCTTTTTTGAAATAGTTGTAGT